GGAAACATGGAGGATAGCGTGGTTAGCGACGCAACGACTGCAACGCAATAATGGGATACGATAAAAACATTAGAGTCACAATTAAAAAGATCCCAGTTTCTCTTGGGTGGTAATTATACACATTTCTATGATGTTACAACTTTTTTTATTTCATTACATCTTTTATTTACTTAATGTTAATATTTATAAACACATTTTATTCTACTTTATTTTGCACATTTAAACAATTTTTTATCTTAATTTGACATTTTCACTTTGTTTTTTAATACTTATGTTTATATAATTGTTTGTAATGGAGTAACCGATACAAAACCCAATTTCTCAACGGGGTAAATACATTATTTTGCTTTATCTGTGTTTTCTTTTAATCTTTTATTACATTACTGAAGCAGAGTTTATAAAAGGTGGCTAAAGAGGGCTTTTCATTTGAAACTGAAAACAAATAAATTCTCTTAATTTTATGTTTTTGACTATATTGTACAGATATAGGAACGTGGCCCAGGCACTAGCATTCCAGCTCTAAATTGAAACAAGTAATGATATTAAAGTGTGTTTTTGGTTTGCTAACACACACACACACACACACACACACTCACTGCTTTCTCTTACCGTACGGAGCCCGACCGGCCAGCGGGTTGAGGAGCGGTGTGGGATTCGAGCCTCCGTCCCTCCGACTCCGATCCGCTAACGCAGGGAAGTCCGACAGATCCAACCCCGTCACATTCTCACTGCCGTCTATACACACACACACACACACACACACACACACACACACACACACACACACACACACACACACACACACACACACACACACACACACACACACACACACACACAGATACTTCGTGCATCAGCCAAAGGAAAGGAAATACAAAACAAACGTATTAAATGTGTTTTTTATGTACCTGTGCCGTTGAAGATGTTGTTGGATAGGGAGCTGTTCATGTTGTACCCTGGATTCCTGTTCACACCAAACCCCGACATACTGACACACAAACAGAGACACAATAAAGGATTAGTTTGATACTTTCATCTTAAAGAAACAGGAGCTTTATGTTTTACAAGTGCATCAATTAATAAGACTTGTAAAACATGCTTTTATTTTACTAAATATTAAGCTTTCATCCATATTTGTTGTTGTTTATCCTAAAACTTTGCTTTAAAAGCTGCTCACCTCGAAAGCACATATTAAATAACTAAAATTAAGTATAGAAAACAAAATGAGAATAATAGAAATATCAGTAAATGATGAATGCATATATTAAAATGACCTGTTTATGGTGAAGGGCTGCCGTGCTTGCTGCTGTTTGGGCATCCCGATGATGCTGGGTGACGACCGGCTGGGACTGCCCATGCTGCTGCTCCTGCCGCCGCCCCCCCTCTCCACTCCCACACCCCCCATCCCCCCCGACTGCGCCGTGGGACCCCCGACCTGCTGGCTGTGGTTCAGGACGCTCCGGGTGTTCATCGGCAGAATCCCCCTGCAGAGAGAAGAGGGAGAAACAACGTGAGGAGGGGCAGCGGGATGTGAAGTATGGAGGTTTACGGGACTAATGTAATAATATAACTTATAACTGGACTTGTCTTCACGCTTTTGAATTATAATACATTTGATTTCTAAGCGCTTTTTCCGGTGCTCAGACACTTTACAGTCGTGATAAAAAATAAATAAAATAGAAAAATTAAAAGTTGGACTAAAATATTAAAACGGAAACAACATAAAGCTGCTCAGCCCCGAGCCTGTTTTCAGGTCTCAGACTCGAAAATGACATTCCCCGAACACATGACCATATCTTCACTTCTAACAGGGGAACATTAATAATCTTTTTTCTCAAAGACAATGATAAAACCTGTGAGTGGATGTAGGAGAGTCAGAATCAATATAGATGTTTTTATTTTAAAGTAAATTCAGTTTGAACAATAGTAAAAACTAGTGAATTATAGTGTCCGTCCAAAAC